AAATATCAAAAATATATTATTTTTTATATTTAATATTGTAGACATTTGTCTACATTATTAATTATCAAAGACTAAATAAATGTAGACATTAGTTTAGTGCCTCTATGTGAATGAAACACAAAGTTGATCACAGACAAATGAAATGAAATTGATCCCCCACACACGCACACATTATTATATAATAAAAAACACACGCACACAGGAGCGAGGTTGGTTACACAACTGATATTAAGCTATTCTTAATAGCTTAATATCAGTTGATATGATTCTTAGAGTATTCTATCTTTCAGTGATATTAAGTATTCTTTCAGTCGATATATACGCTAATCTTAATAGCTTATGAATATTTCAGTGATATTAAGTTATTCTTCAGTCGTTATTAACTATTCTTATAGATTATATCAGTTGATATGAAGCTATTCTTTTAGTTGATATTAAGCTATTCTTTCAGTCGATATTATGCTAATCTTAATAGATTAATATGAAGCTATTCTTTCAGTTGTTATTAAGCTATTCTTTCAGTCGATATTAAGCTATTCTTTCAGTCGATATTAAGCTATTCTTTTAGTCGATATTGTAGACAGCCTGTACTGTCTGCACAGACAGCCCATGCTGTCTGCCAGCTTAGTTCATATTTCGTGCCATGCTGGTGATGCCACCTATAGGCCTTGCCACTTCAGTATGCCCAGACTTGCCTCTCTCTCACTCACACAGCGGCCTAGCAGCAAGACACAAGGCTACTCCTAGCTCTCTCTCGTGGGATGGCCCTTCCCGGGCCATGGGCACAACACAACCTGTGTACCCACCACGACTTAATAAACAAAGAAGCCTCCGAAGACACGTATCATTTGAACCCCGCTACCATACTACCAAACAATCTCGTTATAAATGGTGGAAAGCGGTGGTCGCAGCAGTTGTTTGCCCAGAGAGAGGAAGGAGAGGTATGAAGTCATCTTCACTTCATCACCCTACACAAGAAGCATCCGTCTCTCAAAGAGTTATCCTGATGTCGTGTCTGCACGTTTGAGCATCCAGACACAGGTACAAGCAGGATCCAGGCCGAAATTTGCCGAAATTCTTCGAGAATTGTAAGTGGCGTCCCAGTGACCCCACGCTACAGTGGGACCCACGCTGTTTCTCAAGTCATGTGTTCAGCGTCACTCGTATGTTGCTGTTGTTGTTCAGCTCAGCACAGCTGTTTCAGCAAGCCAGAGGTGAGTTTTGTGGTGATTTCTGCCTCCAGTGTGTTTCTCTGTGTTTGTGGGTGGGAGAGGAGACGGCCAGATGCTCCCTCGCCATACACTCACCCACGCTCCTCGCCACCACACTACCATACACTCACCACTACTCACTCCCCCTGCTGTGTTTTCTGCTGTTTTCTGTGTGAATTCATTGCCAGAACTGTGTATCCGAGTGCCCGAGGCCACTCGAAGCTACGTGGATCAGCATGCCACGTAGACCAGCATGCCACATGGATCCCGACGCCACGTGGGTGTGGGCGATGTCATGTGGATCTACAAAAGAGCTTAATATCAGTTGATATTAAGCTCTTCTTTCACCAAAATGTTTTTTTCCATACATCAAAACACTAACTTGCAGAAAACTAGTCATGTCTTGTGCAGAAAAGACATTTTTACACAAGCTTTCATCAGCTCAACCTTTAAATCTGTTTAGATCATAGTCAAAGTCATAAACAGATCAAAATATCTCCCCAATAATAGAATGCCTGACACTGTCTTTTCTTCACTCCTAAATCAGTCACTCGTAGTCACACAACACTGACAACCTACATACTACCTTAAAAAAATTAATATGCAAAGTAAAAGGACACAAGTGAAACTAGTATGACATTTTATTGTGGCAACGTTTCGCTCTCCAGGAGCTTTATCAAGCCGTTACAAGCAGTACATGGACACAGAGGGTATATACGTATAGGCTCAGAGTGAGGTGCAATACTAGTGGTGGTAGTAGTAGTAGTAATACAATAGGGTAGAGCAATTAACTCTTACACGAGTAAAAGGATATAAAAGCTATTACTTGGGTAACATAAAAATAGACAAATATAGACTGGATAGAGAAGGCCTGTTTCAGTGTTCACTCTCTGTAATGTGCTTTGTGTAGTATTAGCAAGAGAGACTATGTGATGGCAGGGTTTACTGTTTTCAGGAGGATTCTTGCTAAGTGAAACTTCAGAGATGGTGAAGCTGCCTTTGTTTTGTTTAATTGTATTCGAAACAGCGATTAGTGCTGACTCGAGACACTTGCGTCTGCGGAAATTAGTTTCTTTGATCAATAATCGGGCATCCCTGAATTTCATGAGATGATTGGAGGAATTTCGGTGTTGTACACAGGCGTTGTTCAAGTTATCGTTCCTACATGCGTAAATGTGTTCATTGAGGCGGGTGTCGAGGTTTCTTGCTGTTTCACCTACATAAATCTTGTCGCAGCCTCCACAGGGTATAGTGTCAACTCCTGCATTGACTGGTTCAGGTGCTTTGATTTTGTCCTGATCAGATCCTTTATTGAAGTGCTGGAAGTGATGGCGACTCTGGTGTTAGCTTGTGAAAGTACTTTAGAAACGTTCAGTGCAACCTGGCTGCTGGGAAGAATTATAACTTTGTTAGGAGTGGTGTTGGTGCATGGAGAATTAATGATCTGAAGAGCTCTTTTCTTGCAGTCTTTGATGAAAAAGGAAGGAAAATGCAACTCAGTGAAGGTTTGGTGAATGTATGTACATTCCTCGTCAAGAAACTCGGGACTACAAATTCGGTACGCTCTTAGGAAAAAACCCAGTGATGATGCCTCTTTTGGTCTTAGTATCTTGACTGGAATAGAAGTGTGCGAGATCATTTTTATTGGTAGGTTTCCGATAAACTTGAAATCTTAGGTTGTTGTCTACTTTGTGAATGAGGACGTTGAGGAAAGGTAGCTGTCATTGGACTCTTCTTCTAGTGTAAACTGGATCGCCGGTTCAACTGCGTTGAGCCTTGCCTGAAGATTCCGTACATCAAAACGTTTGGGAGTTATTACGAGGACATCGTCCACGTAACGTAACCAAGTGACGCATGAAGGGATGATGTTGGCGAAGTGTTCGGACTCTAGGTGTTCCATGTATAAGTTGGCTAGGACGGCACTGATGGGGGACCCCATTCCCATGCCGTAGGTTTGTTTGTAGAGCCTGTTATTTTAAAGAAAAACTGTTGAAATTAACACAGAGTTCAGTGTTAATTTCAACAGTTTTTCTTTCAATAACAGGCTCTACAAACAAACCTACGGCACGGGAATGGGGTCCCCCATCAGTGCCGTCCTAGCCAACTCATACATGGAACACCTAGAGTCCGAACACTTTGCCAACATCATCCCTTCAAGCATCACTTGGTTACGTTACGTGGACGACGTCCTCGTAATAACTCCCAAACGTTTTGATGTACGGAATCTTCAGGCAAGGCTCAACGCAGTTGAACCGGCGATCCAGTTTACACTAGAAGAAGAGTCCAATGACAAGCTACCTTTCCTCGACGTCCTCATTCACAAAGTAGACAACAACCTAAGATTTCAAGTTTATCGGAAACCTACCAATAAAAATGATCTCGCACATTTCTATTCCAGTCAAGATACTAAGACCAAAAGAGGCATCATCATTGGGTTTTTCCTAAGAGCGTACCGAATTTGTAGTCCTGAGTTTCTTGACAAGGAATGTACATACATTCAAGAAACCTTCACTGAGTTACATTTTCCTTCCTTTTTCATCAAAGACTGCAAGAAAAGAGCTCTTCAGATCATTAATTCTCCACGCGCCAACACCACTCCTAACAAAGTCATAATTCTTCCCAACAGCCAGGTTGCACTGAACGTTTCTACAGTACTTTCACAAGCTAACACCAGTCGCCATCGCTTCCAGCGCTTCAATAAAGGATCTGACCAGGACAAAATCAAAGCACCATGAACCAGTCAATGCAGGAGTTTACACTATACCCTGTGGAGGCTGCGACAAGATTTATGTAGATGAAACAGCAAGAAACCTCGACACCCGCCTCAATGAACACATTTACGCATGTAGGAACGATAACTTGAACAACGCCTGTGTACAACACCGAAATTCCTCCAATCATCTCATGAAATTCAGGGACGCCCAATTAGTGATCAAAGAAACTAATTTCCGCAGACGCAAGTGCCTCGAGTCAGCACTAATCGCTGTTTCGAATACAATTAAACAGAACAAAGGCAGCTTCACCATCTCTGAAGTCTTAGCAAGAATCCTCCTGAAAACAGTAAACCCTGCCATCACATAGTCTCTCCTGTTAATACTACACAAAGCACAGAGAGTGAACACTGAAACAGGCCTTCTCTATCCAGTCTATATTTGTCTATTTTTATGTTACCCAAGTAATAGCTTTTATATCCTTTTACTCATGTATGAGTTAATTGCTCTACCCTATTGTATTACTACTACAATTTATGTCACTACTACTACTACCACCACTAGTATTGCACCTCACTCTGAGCCTATATATACCCTCTGTGTCCATGTACTGCTTGAAACGGCTTGGCAAAGCTCCTGGAGAGCGAAACGTTGCCACAATAAAATGTCACATTAGTTGCACTTGTGTCCTTTTACTTTACATATTGTCGGTAATTCTACCAACATTATTACAAAAAATTAATACATTAACAAAACCCACTTGGGTCACTCAGCACTGCACACAAGCTCTATAAATACTAACAAACTTTTAATTAAGAATATTTGTACTTTACCTATTTTTTTGGGTGGTTTATCAGGCTTAAAGCCTGTCAATGATGCTTAATTCCTGAAACACAGACTGAGGGATTGATTACTTCAGCACCTACCTGTTCAGTCTTGTGTTTTTGTCCCTGTATTCTAGTAATATAGTTACTGGTTGTCAATGTTTTCATGGACAATTGATGTATGATTCACTTCCATCAATTTTTAATCATGCTTTTCAATATCTAGCTGCTGATGAGCTGAAAGACTGTGATCCTTCTGATGACTCTTGCTACACAATATTTGTGTCCTCTTTTTTTTTTTCCAGTTTTGATATTAAGCTGTTAGGGAAAAGATGGGAAGCTTGTCCCTTTCTCAGCTTCATTTGTTGCCTTTGCAAGATGCTCATCTTTTTTTTGCACTGCCCTGAAGATTTATCAACTCTCCCAACTGCTTGACACATTCTCTCTGGCCTCTGCCAATCATTAGCCGTCGCCACCTAGGAGCGATATTTACTTACTTTGCATCTTTTTTCCAGTTTTTTTTTTTTTCAATCAGCAGAATGCCATTTGCACATCTCTTCAGCCTGCCACACCTACGAACCTGGGCCTGAGAAAGGATCCAGTGTCATACTTCTTCCTAAACCTGTACTCCTTACAATGCAGGAGGGAGATATACATGGTTATATACACCTGGAAAATCCTAGAGGGTCTAGTACCAAACTTGCACTCGAAAATCACTCTGTACAAAAGCAGAAGACTCGGCAGACAGTGCAACATCCCCCCAATGAAAAGCAGGGGTGCCACTAGCACGATAGAGACAACACAATAAGTGTCAGGGGCCCAAGACTGTTCTACTGCCTCCCAGCATACATTAGGGGAATTACCAATAGACTCTTGGCTGTCTTGAAAGCAAGCACTGGAAAGGCACTTAAAGTCAGTGCCTGACCAGCCAGGCTGTGGTTCGTACGCTGGATTATGTGCAGCCAGCAGTAACAGCCTGGTTGATCAGGCCCTGATCCACCATGAGGCCTGGCCACAGACTGGGCCACGGGGGTGTTGACCCCTGGAACCCTCTCCAGGTATAATCCAGATGAAGAGATCGCTCTGCTTAGGTCCCAGGTAAATTTTTATAACTCTCTTGCAGACTCTGTATGTCATCAGTGAAGTGAGCAATGATGTCAAGAGGTAGCGGCCTGTGGTTCTTGGTAAAGGCTCCCAATTCAAGGTGCTCGACTGCCATAGTCAAGTCCTTGTCCTTGTTGAGGTAGGCCACACGATGGAGGGTATGAGGAAAGTCTCGTTGTCCTTGACGTTCTACAAATGTATGCTGGTTGTATCTCTTGTTGGGCACCAGGTAAAAAGGGCACGACTGGCTCTGGCATGCATTCCCTAACAGTCTGACATCAGAGCGATACCTCTTGTACACCCGATCAAATGTGGCATCGCTTACATCTATGCCTCGCTGTCTGGCCTGTACCACTATCTCGTGAGGTTTCAAAGGTTGCACCACCTCTCTGTGAGCAGCTAGGTAGGCTTCAAGCCACACATTCACTACATGCTGTTCAAATTCAACATTCAGGTTTCTGGCTATAAATCCCAAGATCTCATCCTGGACATGCTTGGTCACCAGCTCTAAACTGGTATTATAGTCAGCAAGACTGGCACTAAGACGGCTTCGTGAAGTCTTGTACCTAAGAGCATGGGCCACATAGATAAATACACTACGTTCACTAAACAAGTCATTGACAACTTCTTCAGATAGGTCTGCCTCCTTGGCGAAGGTCCTTAATGTGTGCCAAGATACATCACCTGCACCAGACACATTGCGAAGACTAACAACCTTCTCCATGTTTACTTTGATGGGTAGATCTGGCATGAACATCTTTTTCATATCTTGCAACTTCTCTGGAGCAATCTGTTTGGCTGCTTTCTTAACTTCCTCCAAAGTGTAAAATTTTTCTAGGAGTGCACTTGAACTTGCTGTCAAGTTAGCTTTAACATTAATTACATAATCATCAACCCAGTCTTTTTTCACATTTTGACTATAATGGGTTTCCACAAAAAAGTCAGTGAAGGGCATTGCCTTGTTATTTTTGGTGTTGTAGTTAGCAAGGCAGCGGCCGATGAACTCTACCAAGATCAACCTCATCACCCTGGCCACAACACTGAGACTGAGTTCGCATTCATTGTGCTGGTTCATGTGCAATATGAACATTGGCTTGATGAGTGACTCACACTTAAGTGTCTTCTTGTCAACCTTAATGGTACTCTCTGTCATCAGTGCTTGGGCTGTGTTCTCTCTCAAGACTTTCCAGTATGTGAGGTAGCTTGGCTGATTTAAGTAGAGGGCAGCAGTGCTTTTTATACTCTCTATACGTAAGCGCACAAACTCGGGTCTAGGCCGAGTTGGGTACTCGTACAAGATCCTCATCCAAGTGATGGCCAAGGCGGCAATGTGTACATTAAAATCAATAATGTGAGGATTCTTCAAGATGGCAAAAGTTACACACATAGCATATATGCGTGTATGAACAAATGGCTCCATGATCTTTGCAACACCTGGTGGGAAAACTGGAACTATAGCATTAAAACGGGTATTTGCTTCATCCCACTTTGCTCTGACATCTTTATGCTGTGCACCTGCTGATGTGGTCTCTGCAAAGGACTCTAGAGCCACCTGACTGAGGATTGTGTAAGGAGAGGAGAGAATTCCCCTGACAGAGTATGACCAAGGGTTGATGATCATGGAGTCCCTGATGGGTGCAAATACTGGGATTCCTGTCATGGTGAATTGCTTTAGGAATTCATATTTGCCTAACTGGAACAATTCAGAAAAGTCCGTGTCCTGCAGGTCAGTTATAGTGGAAGTGAGTGTGATTCGGCAGCAGTCTTCTGGTGTAGTTTCAACTTTTTTAATGTTGGCTTTATGAGCTTCATAGACCTCCATAAATTCCTTTTGATCTTTTGAAAAATCCTGGTCAGTATGTCCTTTCATCCTTAACACTTTAGTTTCATATTTGCTCCCACCAACAGTTGTGAAGAGGATTTTGTCCGCTAACTCCTGCTCATCCTGGAAAGTTTCCGTCATCAAGATTGTTTCCATGTAGTTTTTGTGTGCTCTGAAACTGGCCTCATGGGTTTTTATTTCCTTCAGAGTGAGGCGATCGTTGATGGTTTGTGCCCTAGAGCCCTCCTTCAATTTTTTTGACCAGGAGCTGAAGAGTCTATCCTTGAAGGCCATGATGTCTGATGGAATAGTTTTCTTGCTCCTGTGCAGCTGGATTATGAGAGAATTCCACTGCCTGAACAATTCACTTAAGTTGGACAAATTCATGGGTTTGGGTTTCAGGGAGATGCTGAAGCTATGCCTCCCAGATGAAAGAGTCAAATTCTGTATTTCTTGTGGCTCACAAGCAAAGTACACCCACTCCCCCAGGTGAAACACATCTGTCACATCTCCTCCAGGTAAAACTGACCCACTCAAAGACAATTTTATTCTTGAGGAATTACTGCTGTAACTTATTCGGCCGATAACAGCCATCTCCTCCCTCATGCCTACGGAGGTTTTGGCTGTGAAGAGGTATGGCAGGTTAGAGTTGCCATTATGCAGACGGGAACGAATGTCAATACTGTGTTGGACAGGGAATTTATCCCCTACACCCAGAACAAAAACATCACATATCTTGCCACATGCATACTCCATCTTTTCTATCACACTCTCTGGCTTAACTTTAGACACAGTGTGCTCTCCATCTGTGATGAGGAACACTTTAATGTACTTCTCCCTACATTGGTACACCTCACTTACAATAGTCCTCAAGGCACCGACGAGATCTGTCCCTCCACTAATGAAGTCTTTCTGCTCCAGCTGTTTCCCAGACCTAAGGAAGAGAACCCTGGTTCCAAATGCATATAGAATAGTGCGGCCATATAAAGTGGGTGCTACAAGACTGTTCCAACTGTGCACCACATCTTTCCAATAGGCTTTCATGGATGCAGAGACATCCACCATAAGAATATTTAAGGAGGCGGAGGGTGGGGGTCGGCCCACATCAGGCACAGGCAGGTCAGTAGGCATGTGTAGTACTGTGTGCAGTCGTTCTCTTGTGCCCACCTGTGTCAGAGACCAGTATAACATAAATAGGTGCTATTCCAAACAATAACTAATGATAAATGCTGAAAAAACCTATTGGCAATAAGACAAGGAAAATTAATTGATCCTGTTGATGTAGAGTTAGTATAACTTAAAATTCCTTATAGTACAAAAACAAGCACTCAGTGTCTATGAGCCAAGCAATATAATTCGTTAATATTACCGTTTCTTGGCTAACTGTATATCAAATAAGCCTTGTGCAAGATACAATTCCTAATCTCTCAAATTCACACCCATTTCTCTCAAATCTTGTATATGTAAAAATCTTGAAACAACTTATTCCTATTACATTTCAGAATATTTTATACACTTCAAGATTAGGACACATGCAGCTTTCAATGATCTAAAGTCAGATTTCAACTTTGTCAATTAAGAAATCATACGTATATGAACATAAAATATCATAACACTACTGGGACTATCTTAAAGTATCATGGAGTATCTTAAAATGAAATAGTAATAAGTATTTGCAATTATAAGGAGGGGTTTGGGATATTGGCTGTTTGGAGTGACATCTAAACTGTTATATCTGAGCACCTCTGCAAGGATAGTGATTATGTGTGAATGATGGTGAAAGTTTGTCTTTTTTGGATTACCCTGCCTTGGTGGGAGATGGCCTATGTGTTGTGAAGGAAAAAAAAAAAAAAATTTACACAGGGTAACACTTGTGAAAGGATTCAAGGAAATACTTAGCCAGGCTCAAGTTCTAAAGGTGGAAAAATATACTGTCTGCACTGTGAAAGATGAGCAGGAAGTGATGATTTACAAAAACATTTTTTTCATTGTGATGTTCAGGTCAAAGCCACCTGAAGTACGAGTGATAAATTCATTTCCTTCTTTGCATGTACTGTTTTTTGGGAAAAATGACTGGTATTAAAAAAGAATTCATCCTTCAATTTGACATGAGCATCAATCTGAGGTGGCCGCAAAAAGTGACTTACCAGGGAGTACAAGCGTATGTATCTGCGTGACATACCTCCTGTGAAGAGTTTTGCAACTTCTCTCTCTATTATCCCAGCCTGAGACCAGGCTTCCATGGTGACCATACAACTAACCAGGCTTTTTGTAGGCCTTCATAGCCATCACAAACTAGACGGTCAGGAGCATCCTGCAAGAACTTCTCCAGTCCCCTCTTGAAGATGTCTGCCTGTGTTCCAGCAATATTTCTTATAACTTCTGGAAGAAGGTTGAAGAGTTGTGGAGATACGAGGTTGGGAAAATGTTCTCTAATTGTGTTTATGGCTCATCCGAGGCCATCAACTCAGCCTCGGATGACTCGTGAGCAATCGACTCTGCTCACGAGTCATCCGAGGCCATCAACTCTGCTCACGAGTCATCCGAGGCCATCAACTCTGCTCACGAGTCATCCGAGGCCATCAACTCTGCTCACGAGTCATCCGAGGCCATCAACTCTGCTCACGAGTCATCCGAGGCCATCAACTCTGATCTGAGCATCGACTGCTCACGAGTCTCGAGGCCATCAACTCTGCTCACGAGTCATCGAGGCCATCAATCCTCGGAGGCCATCAACTCTGCTCACGAGTCATCCGAGGCCATCAACTCTGCTCACGAGTCATCCGAGGCCATCAACTCTGCTCACGAGTCATCCGAGGCCATCAACTCTGCTCACGAGTCATCCGAGGCCATCAACTCTGCTCACGAGTCATCCGAGGCCATCAACTCTGCTCACGAGTCATCCGAGGCCATCAACTCTGCTCACGAGTCATCCGAGGCCATCAACTCTGCTCACGAGTCATCCGAGGCCATCAACTCTGCTCACGAGTCATCCGAGGCCATCAACTCTGCTCACGAGTCATCCGAGGCCATCAACTCTGCTCACGAGTCATCCGAGGCCATCAACTCTGCTCACGAGTCATCCGAGGCCATCAACTCTGCTCACGAGTCATCCGAGGCCATCAACTCTGCTCACGAGTCATCCGAGGCCATCAACTCTGCTCACGAGTCATCCGAGGCCATCAACTCTGCTCACGAGTCATCCGAGGCCATCAACTCTGCTCACGAGTCATCCGAGGCCATCAACTCTGCTCACGAGTCATCCGAGGCCATCAACTCTGCTCACGAGTCATCCGAGGCCATCAACTCTGCTCACGAGTCATCCGAGGCCATCAACTCTGCTCACGAGTCATCCGAGGCCATCAACTCTGCTCACGAGTCATCCGAGGCCATCAACTCTGCTCACGAGTCATCCGAGGCCATCAACTCTGCTCACGAGTCATCCGAGGCCATCAACTCTGCTCACGAGTCATCCGAGGCCATCAACTCTGCTCACGAGTCATCCGAGGCCATCAACTCTGCTCACGAGTCATCCGAGGCCATCAACTCTGCTCACGAGTCATCCGAGGCCATCAACTCTGCTCACGAGTCATCCGAGGCCATCAACTCTGCTCACGAGTCATCCGAGGCCATCAACTCTGCTCACGAGTCATCCGAGGCCATCAACTCTGCTCACGAGTCATCCGAGGCCATCAACTCTGCTCACGAGCCATCCAGGGCCATCAACTCTGCACATGAGTCATCTGAGGTCCTGAAACTCCTCTTATGATATTCATATCCGAGGTCCCCAACTTCTCAACCTTCAACCAAAAGATATAATAAATATTGCCAAGAGACAGGCAGAAGAATTCAAGAGGAAATTGGAAAAAAGTACATGTGGAAGGTAAATCAATGTAAATAAGACTATTAACATTGATTTACCCAAAAGGCAAGCAAAATAAGGAAAAAAATAACTTTGGTATACTGTACCTAAAAATAGACCCACTGAAAACATTCAAATAAAATGTATTAATTCTAATACAGAACGAAAACAAGCATAAGATCTAAGACACGAACCATTAAATATTTAATTGCTACAATAGGTCCCTGAGAAGGCAGCACAACAATGAAACCAGGCAATGTGATGTAGTTACAGGTATAGTCATTACCAGGGTTTGGTTAAGACACATGCCCACTGGGCTAGTTATCAAGGTTGCATGCATACCAGAACACTCAGCCTGTAAACAATGGTGATGAATTTTTAAAACACATAGTTGGGCATTATATTACTGAATGTGGAGCTATTAAAAACAGTCAAGTTAAATAATAAACCATTAAATTACTTCACTGAAATGGGTGTCCTTAGAGACCGACAATTCATCCTAAATTTGTCTGACTAATGTTTTTTAAACCTGGTTAACCCTTTCAGGGTCCAAGGCCCAAATCTGGAGTCACGCACCAGTGTCCAAGAATTTTCAAAAAAAAAATTTGTTATTTTTTCTTATGAAATCGTAGAGAATCTTTTTGTGAAGGTAATAAAACAAAAAGTACGAAATTTGGTGGAAAATTGACGAAATTATGCTCTCGCGAATTTTGATGTGTCAGCGATATTTACGAATCGGCGATTTTGCCGACTTTGACTCCCATTTTAGGCCAATTACATTATTCCAATCAACCAAATTCTTAGCTATTTCACTAGTATTACTTCTATTCTATCGATTGAGCACAAGAAATCGCCAAGTCACTGTTTCAACTACAAAATAAAGTGATCAGAAATTGTTAATTTGGCCAATTTAACACAAAGTTTCAAAATATTCCAATTTCAAATAGGGTCCAGAATGAACAATGTAGGCATTCCTGGCACTAAACTAACATTTCCTCTGTTCATTAGTTATGTTTTGAGGCTTTACAAATAAATTCCATTTTGATTTTTATTCACATAATGAATTTTTATTCACACCAAAAAAATAGAAGATTTACTGTTATGCAATACTGTAATAATTGTATAAATATCACCATATTTGTGAATGTATATTAGACCCACCAGCTGACGTGTATTAGACGTGTGAGGTCGTTTGTTTACTCTTGAACATCGGCAAAAATTTAACATTTCTGCTACTTTGAGCTCAGTTTCAAGCCATTTCCAGTGCTAAAACCAATCAAAGTCATCTCTATTTCTGTAATGTGACTTCCATTCTATCAAATGAGACCAAGATATCGCAAATACAACTATAAAAAACATACGAAAAAACACTGCAAAGTTGCTGTTTTAATCGAAAAATCATGATTTAATTTTTTTTCTCTCATTATACACAGTGTGCTGCAGGATCTGTTTTATGTGGTGCACACATACCACATAGATGTATTCTCTCATATCTAGGCCCAAATGTACCACTCACAGTTTATCAGAGTGAGCTGAGCTCATGGCGTAGATCTACGGTTTGGACCCTGAACGTAAAGCCGTAGATCTACGGAACGGACCCTGAAAGGGTTAAATACAATAAGTGTTGACAATGACATACAGTAAATCCTCCTCATGACAATTTCATGTTACAAAATCTTGACATTAATCAGAGTAAATCTTAAAAAATAAGTTAACATGTAAAATATTGGTACAATATGCTCTAGATTATCACAGCATATAGTTAAAAGGAAAATTTGCCTATTATATCCTGTAAAAAAATGTTTTCCTCCTGAGCTAAATTGGGTTACAGCATTTCATGGGCACGACTCCTCCTTTCTCACTAATCCCATATGTCAACTTCAGTTTCAGTCTGACAACATTCTGTGCCTCACTGTTTATTAAGCTATTTGTAATACTATTTCCACCCTGCTTTAATTCATTAAGTTGAGAGTTTACTATATACATACTGTACTGATACTATGCTGCTATGTCCTGTGTGTTAACTTCATAAAGCTCTGATCTGAGTAAATTGTAATTGATAAATAAAAAAAAAAATGGCTTTAGTGTCTTTAAAACTATGCAGCATTTGTCAGCAATAGTCTTGCCTCTCAAAAGCAGGAAGTATTTCTTCAAACATAAACTAGAAGAAATTCTAAGGGAGAGAAAGTATTCAAAAGGAATAGGAGAAAAAAGTAATGATAATGCACACAAGAGAATAAATACAGAAGAAAAAGGAAATAAAGAAGACGTAAACTTTATATCATACCATCTCCGGGAGAGCATAGAGTGTGGCGTCAGTGTGCACCTCCCCTAGATCAACCTTTGTTAGCTGGCTTGACTCTTCCTCCTCCACCACAGGATCAGGCCACACCATTTTTGGGGTTTGCCATCCCCCATAAACATCCCCCAAGACACCTCTATCGACTGTCGATGTTTTCATTATTTTAGGGGAAGAGGCTCCTTGGCTTCTCATCCTCTCGAAGAAGCTGGGCAATCCCAATGGTGTGCTTTGGCAGGTGGGCTTGCTGGATGTCTGCAAAAAGTTTCTGGCATTGTGGAGAGGCACTTGTTGCATTTGCTTCAACATCTGAAATGTTTTATTGGTATTAATAAAAAAGAAACCTATTTGGTTAGTAACCCTAGAGTTAATAGCCCAAGAAATCCAAGCAGTGGGTCATTTTTAGGTCCTCCTCCAAGATACAACTTATAATAAGTTGACTAAATTCTACGTATAGTACCTATTAACTTTTAAGTAATAAAGGATCATCAGTATGTCCCACCTCTCCCAGGGTTTAACACTAATACTTTCAGCTGAGAACCAAGCATGCTATCACTTCAGTGAGGTATACTGTACCAAAAGTTTATGACATAAATTTTAACTAGATAAGGTCTGAATTCATTATAACAACCGAATCAGGAAGGAAGTTCATGGCTTTCTATGCAATGTAACTCGTGACTTGCACACATATTCAAGCAAAAATAAAAATATAAATGAAATGCCACTTGGGAGCAATGACAGAAATAAGTCAAATACTAGTTTGACTTTACTAGGTTATGCAATATGGAAATATAAACTTAACTGGGATAATAACACTTGTAAAATGTATGCAGTGATTAAGCAAAATCCCCTTAAAAGACCTTACTATAAAAAAGAAAACATGCAGAGAATACAATGCATGAAAATATTAGTATGCAATACAGTAGATTCCATACATAAACGTTCTCCTGTGTAGTGAAATATAACACTGGATCACTACAGTAGGCCTAAGATGTGGGCGTGAACTGTCTAAACTCGAATTTACACCCATGTTGTATAGGTTCCACTGCTAAATGTCCTTGAAATGGAAAAATCAGGGCCCTCAATGCCATAAATGACATTAATGGACTTTGCTGGATTATCTTTGGTTAAATCAACATACATGTAATACACTTTTTTTTTTGTATCCCTCAATGTGAAAAACTGAAGGCAATACAGTACAAAGGAAATATGTTAGTTTGACTTTATTCCCGGTTTTTTCATGGGCCCAAAATATTCATAGTATACTTTTTTAAAATAACATAAGGGCGTTCCTCAGGACGTATTTTGTGGGGTGGGGGGGGGTTTTTGGGTTTTGGTTTGGTGTGTGTTTTCTCCCCCTTACTGAGGTTGCAGGGTCGACCCAAGCTCCGGGCCCCAAAAGTGTGTGTGGTTTTGGTGTGTGTGTGTTGGTGTTGTGTGGGTTTTTTGGGGGGGGGTGTGTGTGGTGGGGGAAGGGTTGGTGGAGGGGGTTTGGGGTGTGTAGGTTGGTTGGTGGTGTGTGTGTGAGGTTGGTGGTGTGTGTGTGTGTGTTTGTGGTGGGGTGTGTGTGTGTGTGTGTGGGGTGTGGGGAGGTTGGTGTGTGTGTGTGTTTTGGGGTTTGGGTTGTGTGTGTTTTGTGTGTTTTGGTTGGTGTGTGTGTGGGTGTGTGAAAGGTTGGGTGGGGTGTGTGTGTTTGGTGGGTGTGTGTAGGGGGAAAATTTGGGTGTGGGGGTGTGTGTGTAGGTTTGGGTGTTTTGGTTTTGTTGTGTGTGTGTGTGTGGGTTTGGTGTGTGTTGTGTGTGTAGGTTGGTGTGTGGTGTGTGTGTAGTTGGTGTGTTGTTTTGTGGGGTGGGGTAGGTTGGGGGGTGTGTGTGTGTGTAGGTTGGGTTGTGTGTGTGTGTGTGGGTTGGTGGGTGTGGGGGGTTGGGGGGTTGTGTGTGGGGGGGTTGGGTGTGTGTGTGGGGGGGGTTGGGTTTGTGTGTGTGGGGGGGGTTGGGGGTGTGCGCGGGGGTTGGTTTTGTGTGGGGGGGTTTGGTGTTTTGGGGTGGGGGGGTTTGGGTGTGGTGGGGGGGTTTGGTTTTGTGCGTGTGGGGGGGTTGGTGTGGGGCTGGGCGGGTTTGGGGTGTGTGCGTGTGGGGGTTTTTGGGTGTGTGCGTTTTTGGGGGGGTTGGTGTGTGGGTGTGCGGGGGTTGGTGTGTGCGGTGGGGGGGGTTTGGTGTTTTGCGTGTGCGGGGGTTGGTGTGTGTGTGTGCGGTGGTTGGTGTGTGTGTGTGCGGGGTTGGTGTGTGTGTGTGCGGGGTTGGTGTGGGGTGGGGTGCGGGGTTGGTGGTGTGTGTGCGGGGGTTGGTGTGTGTGTGTCGGGGGTTGGTGTGTGTGTGTGCGGGGTTGGTGTGTGTGTGTGCGGGTGTTGGTGTGTGTGTGTGGGGGGGTTGGTGTGTGTGTGTGCGGGGGTTGGTGTGTGGGGTGCGGGGGTTGGTGTGTGTGTGTGCGGGTTGGTGTGTGTGGTCGGGGTGGTGTGTGTTTTGCGGGGTTGGTGTGTGTGTGTGCGGGGGTTGGTGTGTGTGTGTGCGGGGGTTTGGTGTGTTGTGGTGGGGGGGTTTTGGTGTGTGTTGCGGGGTTGGGTGTGGGGGTGTGGGGGGGTTGGTGTGTGTGTGCGGGGTTGGTGTGTGTGTGCGGGGGTTGGTGGGGGTGTGTGTGGGGGGGGGTTGGTGTGTGTGCGGGGTTGGTGTGTGTGGGGGGGTTGGTGTGCGTGCGGGGGTTGGTGTGCGTGCGGGGGTTGGTGTGCGTGCGGGGTTGGTGTGCGTGTGGGTGGTGTGCGTGTGGGTTGGTGTACTTGCCTAATTGGGGTTGCAGGGGTCGAGACTCAGCTCCGGGCCCCCGGGCTCTTCACTGATCGCTACTAGGTCCTCTCCCTCTCTGCTTCCTGACTTTGTCATACTTCTTCTTAAAACTATGTATGGTTCCTGCCTCCACTACTTCACTTGCTGGGCTTTTCCACTTCCTGACGACTCTATGACTGAAGAAATACTTCCTAACGTCCCTGTGACTCTCTGAATCTTCAGCTTCCAGTTGTGACCCCTTGTTTCTGTGTCCCCTCTCGGGAAACATCCCATCTCTTCCACCTTGCCTATTCCCGCAGTATCTTGTATGTAGTTATCATGTCGCTTCTGTCCTCCATTTCGGTCAGTCCTATTTCCCCCTCAACCTTTCCTCATACGACATTCCCTGAGCTCTGGGACTAGCCTTGTTTGGCAAATCTTTGTACTTTCCTAACTTCTTGACGTCTTGACCAGTGTGTTTCCTACTGGTGCTGCTACTCCAGTAGGGGCATAACATACAGTGTACAGTGTCTTGAACGATCCTAATAAGTGTTGTGTGTATGCGTTTGGTGGGTGTGTGTGTGGGTTGTGTGTGTTGGTGTTGTGTGTTGTGTGTTGGTGGTGTGTGTTGTGTGTGTGTGTTGGTGTTGTGCGTTTTGTTGTGTGGTGTTTGTGTGTGTTGTGTAGTTGTGGTGTGTGTTGGTGTGTGTTTGGTGATGTGTTGGTGTGTGTTGGTGTGTGTTGGTGTGTGTTGGTGTGTTTTGGTTTGTGTTGTGGGTTGTTTGGTGTGTGTTGGTGTGTGTGGGTGTGGTTGTTGGTGTATGGGTGTTGTGTGTGTGTTGGTGTGTTTGTTTTGTGTACTCACCTAATAGTGGTTTGCAGGGGCGAGACTCAGCTCCCTGGCTCCTGTGTTGGTGTGTGGTGTTGTGTGTGTTGTGTGTGTGTTGGCGGTGTACTCACCTTGTTTGAGGTTTGCCGGGGTTGAGTCCAAGCTCCTGGCCCCGCCTCTTCACTGGATCGCTACTAGGTCACTCTCCCTGAGCCGTGAGCTTTTCATACCTCAGCTTAAAGCTATGTAGGATCCTGCCTCCAATACATCGCTTCCCAAACTATACCTCTTACTGACTATCTCTTGTGGGCTTAAGAAATACTTCCTAACATCCCTTGTGATTCATCTTTGTCTGCTGTCAGCTTCCACTGTGTCCAATCTCTGGAACATCCTGTCTTTGTCCACCTTGTCAATTCCTGCAGTATTTTTGTATGTCGTTATCATTCCCCCTATCTCTCCAGTCCTCCATTTCGTCAGTTGAGTTTCCTTAACCTCTCCTCGTAGACAATACCTCTTAGCTCTGGGACTAGTCTTGTTGCAAACCTTTGCACTTTCTCTAGTTTCTTTACGTGCTTGGCTAGGTGTGGGTTCCAAACTGGTGCCGCATACTCCAATATGGGCCTAACGTACACTGTGTACAGGGTCCTGAATGATTCCTTATTAAGATGTCGGAATGCTGTTCTTAGGTTTGCTAGGCGCCCATATGCTGCAGCAGTTATTTGGTTGATGTGCGCTTCAGATGTGCCTGGTGTTATACTCACCCCAAGATCTTTTTCCTTGAGTGAGGTTTGTAGTCTCTGGCCCCCTAGACTGTACTCCGTCTGCGGTCTTCTTTGCCCTTCCCCAATCTTCATGACTTCGCACTTGGTGGGATTGAACTCCAGGAGCCAATTGCTGGACCAGGTCTGCAGCCTGTCCAGATCCCTTTGTAGTTCTGCCTGGTCTTCAATCGAGTGAATTCTTCTCATCAACTTCGTCATCTGCAAACAGGGACACCTCAGAGTCTATTCCTTCCGTCATGTCGTTCACAAATACCAGAAACAGCACTGGTCCTAGGACTGACCCTGTGGGACCCCCGCTGGTCACAGGTGCCCACTCTGACACCTCGCCACGTACCATGACTCGCTGCTGTCTTCCTGACAATTATTCCCTGATCCATTGTAGTGCCTTCCCTGTTATCCCTGCTTGGTCCTCCAGTTTTTGCACCAATCTCTTGTGTGGAACGTGTCAAACGCCTTCTTGCAGTCCAAGAATATGCAATCCACCCACCCCTCTCTCTCTTGTCTTACTGCTGTCACCATGTCATAGAACTCCAGTAGGTTTGTGACACAGGATTTCCCGTCCCTGAAACCATGTTGGCTGCTGTTGATGAGATCGTTCCTTCTAGGTGTTCCACCACTCTTCTCCTGATAATCTTCTCCATGATTTTGCATACTATACATGTCAGTGACACTGGTCTGTAGTTTAATGCTTCATGTCTGTCTCCTTTTTTAAAGATTGGGACTACATTTGCTGTCTTCCATGCCTCAGGCAATCTCCCTGTTTCGATAGATGTATTGAATATTGTTGTTAGGGGTACACATAGCGCCTCTGCTCCCTCTCTCAATACCCATGGGGAGATGTTATCTGGCCCCATTGCCTTTGAGGTATCTAGCTCACTCAGAAGCCTCTTCACTTCTTCCTCGGTTGTGTGCACTGTGTCCAGCACATGGTGGTGTGCCCCACCTCTCCGTCTTTCTGGAGCTCCTTCTGTCTCCTCTGTGTGTATTGGTGTGTGTGTGTGTGTGTGTGTACTCACCTATTTGTACTCACCTATTTGTGGTTGCAGGGGTCGAGTCCTAGCTCCTGGCCCCGCCTCTTCACCGGTTGCTACTAGGCCCTCTCTCTCCCCACTCCATGAGCTTTATCAAACCTCGTCTTAAAACTGTGTATGGTTCCTGCCTCCACTACGTCATTTTCTAGGCTATTCCACTGCCTTACAACTATGACTGAAGAAATACTTCCTACTATCTATCTGACTCATTTGTGTCTTCAACTTCCAATTGTGGCCTCTTGTTTCTGTGTCCCCTCCCTGGAACATCCTGTCTTTGTCCACCTGTCTATTCCACGCAGTATTTTATATGTCGTTATCATGTCTCCCCTGACCCTCCTGTCCTCCAGTGTATTGGTGTATTGGGTGTGTGTGTGTGTATTGGTGTGTGTGTGTGTGTGTATTGGTGTGTGTGTATTGGTGTGTGTGTATTGGTGTGTGTGTATTGGTGTGTGTGTGTATTGGTGTGTGTGTATATTGGTGTGTGTGTATTGGTGTGTGTGTATATTGATGTGTGTGTATTGTGTGTGTGTATTGGTGTGTGTGTATATTGATGTGTGTGTATTGGTGTGTGTGTGTGTGTATTGGTGTGTGTGTGTATTGGTGTGTGTGTGTGTGTGTATGTGTGTGTGTATTGGTGTGTGTGTGTGTGTGTGTGTGTGTGTGTGTTGTGATTGGTGTGTGTGTGTGGTGGTATTGGTGTGGTGTGTATTGGTGTGTGTGTGTGTGTATTGGTGTGTGTGTGTGTGTATTGGTGTGTGTGTGTATTGGTGTGTGTGAAATTGGTGTGTGTGTATTGGTGTGTGTATTGGTGTGTGTGTGTATTGGTGTGTGTTTTGTTTTGGTGGGTGTGTATTGGTGTGTGTGTTTTATTCGTGTGTGTGTGTTTGTGTGTGTGTTGTGTGTGTGTGTGTGTGTGTATTGGGTGATGTGTGTGTGTTTGGTGTTTGTGTGTGTGTATTGGTGTGTGTGTGTGTATTGGTGTGTGTGTGTATTGGTGTGTGTGTGTATTGGTGTTGGTGTGTATTGGTTGTGTGTGGTATTGGTGTGTGTTGTATTGGTGTGTGTGTGTATTGGTGTGTGTGTGTGTTTTGGTGTGTGTGTGTATTGGTGTGGTGTGTGTATTGGGTGTTGTGTGTGTATTGGTGTGTTTTTGTGTGTGTGTATTGGTGTGTGTGTGTGTGTATTGGTGTGTGTGTGTGTATTGGTGTGTGTGTGTGTGTATTGGTGTGTGTGTGTGTGGTATTGGTGTGTGTGTGTGTATTGGTGTGTGTGGGGTATTGGTGTTTTGTGTATTGGTGTGTGTGTATTGGGTGTTTTGTGTATTGGTGTGTGTGTGTTATTGGTGTGTGTGTGTGTATTGGTGTGTGGTGTGTGTATTGGTGTGTGTGTGTGTGTTATTGGTGTGTGTGTGTGTTTTGGGGTGTGTGTGTGTGTATTGGTGTGTGGTGTGTGTATTGGTGTGTGTGTGTGTTTTATTGGTTGTGTTTTGTGTGTATTGGTGTGTGTGTGTGTGTATTGGTGTGTGGTGTGTGTGTTTTGGTGTGTGGTGTGTATTGGTGTGTGTGTGTGTATTGGTGTGTGTGTGTGTATGGTGTGTGTGTGTGTGTATTGGTGTGTGTGTGTATTGGTGTGTGTGTGTATTGGTTGTGTGTGTATGTGGTGTGTGTTTTTGGTGTGTGTGTGTGTGTGTTTGGGTTTGTTGTGTGTGTGTGTTTTATTGGTGTGTGTGTGTGTGTATTGTGTGTGTGTGTGTGTATTGGTGTGTGTGTGTGTGTGTATTGTGTGTGTGTGGTGTGTGTGTTATTGGTGTGTGGGTGTGTTTTGTGTATTGGTGTGTGTGTGTGTGTATTGGTTGTGTGTGTGTTTTGGTGTTGTGTGTGTATTGGTGTGTGTGTGTGTATATGTATTGGTGTGTGTGTGTGTGTGTGTGTGTATTGGTGTACTCACCTAGTTGAGGTTGCAGGGGTCGATTCCAAGCTCCTGGTGTGTGTATGAGTGTATTGGTGTGTATTGGGGTGTGTGTGTTGGGGGATACCACCATAGAAGGTTGGTGTCTGGTAGCACACCAGCCCCGCGCTGCTTCACAGTCTATTTTCACTCAGGCTGACGTTTGGAACGTATCTCAACGTTTGGAACGCACCTCAGCGTTTGAAACGCCTCCCAACGGTCCTAACTAATCTTCGACGTTACTAACGCATGATCCAATTACGTATTAAGAAACTGCTAAAATAATATTTGACACGTCTGCTGGCAACTAATATTTAGACAATTTATCTACTTAATCAATGTGTCTAGACCAGGAGATGGATATTGTTATCTAGAGCTGGTGTAACTGCATACGTATGTTCAAAGATAGGAAAGTTGATAACTGTGAAGGGCCCTCGATTGAAAGAAATGGAACACCTTCCCCCCACCTTACCTATCTTATAACCTTGAATTCCCCGTAAAGGGAGGGTTCTTGATGTGGTAAGGGGGCTCTTGATTTAGGTACTTGGATCTGTGCTCGTTATTATAATCAAAGCGCTAAACCGACAAGGGTCATACAGCTGTGCGCCAGTTCCCTGAATTAAAAGCCCTGGTCTATAGCTAGTGTCTTTGTCTTCCTACTATACGTACTGTGCTTGACATCACCTGCGGTAATACATGTAACAGCTGGTGAACACCTACACATATTCGTCACAGTCATGTGAACACATCACAGCTGAATCAACTGCGTCAACTGGCAGAATACGTATATACGCATTTTTTTAGTATACATTTATAATAAAAAAAGTTATGTACTCTTAAAATGTTATATACAAAATTTGGTAGTAAAAAAAAAAACAGTAGAAATGGAATCTGACTATTTTTTGTTATTCTAGGTAATTTACACTGTATAATTGTACTTATGTGTACCTGTGCCTAAATAAACTTAATAAGCTCGGTTAGGATCTGCTGAAAATACTAATACTACAAGTATTTATAATAGTAAACAGTACATTTACAGGGAAACGCTAAACCCGCTGGGGTTATACAACGGCTGACAATCGTTTGATTTTAAAGGAAGTGTGGTACCAGTGCACTGCCCATGAAAGGTCAGGATCAGATCTAACACCTTCGTAACTACAACTATTATATATCTGTGGGGAAGGGCTAAACCCGTAACTGTCATACATCGCATGGGGACTAGGAAGTAACTTGGTGTGATCCAATTCACTGATACATGGTGAACCTTGTAGCGACGCTGGTAAGTACGTGGTACAAGGAAGCAGCTCTCAACACTGGCTCGTACGTGTTAACCTCCTCTCATCAATCCACTACCAACTACACAACTTTCACATCCTCCACACTGCTTAAACAAACGTTAGACACGATACCTGCATATACGAGACACTCAAAAATTCTCCAGTGGAAGAGAATCGGTGAAATAGTCCAAAATTAAAGACACCGAACTCCCACTGTGACGGTGTAGAAGTGACTGTTGTTGTGCATCTAACGCTGAGTCGTCACCACCAGATACATGATACGAGCAGATGCCTCACACCTCAACTCACACCCAGCATATGCCACGTCGCTTGAATTTACTGGTCCATCCTTGGTTAAACTTACTAATATAATACATTAGCACCAATGTTATATCTGTCCTAATGATTGTGCCAAATGACTATTGTAAAAGCAAACTGATGACTTTCCTAAATAAGACTTGCCTCACTTCTAGAGGGGCCCTTCATTTGAGTCCGATATTTACAACCAAAGCTACCGCTTCACAAGTAGGGCGGGTTGATTCCGGCGGGGGAAACCTAAACCATTTGCATTACACCTGTGCTGTGGTCTACCTGCAGTATTAATAGCAGACCTGGTGTTAGTACCCATGGAGGCGCATCCATGGGGGCAATTCAGCCTGCCTTGGATAGTTAGCAATGTCCTTTTGGTTATACTTTCTTGGTCTACATGTTTCTTTTTCAACTTCGAGTTATTAGTAAATCAAAACAAGCGCTAGAGCCACCAGTGTCATACAGCGCAACCTGTCATAACTTGGACGTAGCTGAGCCTAATTAATATAGAATGGATTTAAACCCTGGTCATCATTTCCAGGTACAAACATCCATGCTGCGATGGTTTATATGGATCTTCATATAATGATTGGTAAATATTAAAACATCGCAAACTTGAAAATACATACAGTCAACAGTTGGAACTTAATCCAGCAGCAACCAGGCTACCACCGTCATGTCAGCACAATTTGCACGAAATTTCTAGCATGCCTAATATGTAAAGATAATTTACGTATTTCATGATAGTTCTATTCCACGGTAACAAACATCAGTGATCGAAATGTGATTACTATGGTCTTTCATATAATGAATTGAAGTAAAATATTAAAACAATCGCAAACCTTGTAAAAACACAGTACAGTCAACAGATGGAACTTCACATCCAGCAGCAACCCAGAGCTTACACCCGATGTCGTCACATTTTCTCCAAACCTTATTATATACCATCTGCATGACGTCAATCTAACCTACAAATGACATATTGCTAATAGCTAATGCAATATCAGTGACAGGGAACCCGACCTTGCAAATGAGTCACTTTGATTCTGGTTATGTATAGCATGTTGCTTCACCGCTTAGTTTTGATGATAATAATAATAATAATAATAATAATAATAATTATGGAAAATTTTGTAGGGGTGATTACCTGTACGTACCTCAACATTACATGCATACAAGTAATCTCATTGGGAGACAACCATATTGTTTACCGTAGTCACCCTGTGTAGACATGTGAGAAAACTTAACAACCCCTGGTCACGGCAGGTGGTTCCTTCGACCTCACAATCTTATCCATATCTATCCGAGACCAGTATAGATTGGATAGCACCCACAAGTACGGCGCTACTAATTAATTGTGGACTGTATAGATTATATTAGTGTAACTGAATGAAGGGGGGGGGGTAGGGTTTCACATGGATATATCCAGCAAAGGGAAAAACACTTGTACATATTTTCACCACTTACCAGATATTCTCTGGTTTGGTCATTGATGTAGCTGGATCACCCCTAACTTATCCAATTACAACATACCTAACTGGCCAGTATCAGTCTGCTATAACTAGAAAGGTTACTTAGCTGTGGGTGATTGATGCTCCTTATTTCCTCCATTCACCATCTCATTTCGATGTCCTGCTACACCGACATGGTTCTTATTCCAGCAGGACGAGGTATCCGTTGGTTTGTCCCAGTTTAGAAGTCATGACTCCATAAAAACTTCACTATCCTCGAGACAGGAACAACGAGGTAAACATGTGCACACACACTCTGGGAATGGCAGCTCATATCGCTTCAACGATTCCTTAACTTAGTGTTATTATCACTGATTACATTACAGTTCACAAGATGAACATCAAAATGGTATACAATACCGACAGGTTGTTAGGTAAGACACATATGCAACAGTTAGACATCTTTATTCCGAAACGTTTCGCCTACACAGTAGGCTTCTTCAGTCGAATACAGAAAGTAGGCAGGAGCAGTAGAGATGTGAAGACGATGTAATCAGTCCATCACCCTTAAAGTCGTAGAATTTGAGGTTGTCAGTCCCTCGGCCTGGAGAAGTTCAGTTCCTGACTATGGAACTGAACTTCTCCAGGCCGAGGGACTGACAACCTCAAATTCTACGACTTTAAGGGTGATGGACTGATTACATCGTCTTCACATCTCTACTGCTCCTGCCTACTTTCTGTATTCGACTGAAGAAGCCTACTGTGTAGGCGAAACGTTTCGGAATAAAGATGTCTAACTGTTGCATATGTGTCTTACCTAACAGTTCACAAGATGATTTAATGTCTCATAATTATTGTACACATTAGAGGTCACTCCATTAAGATCTGAGACCGATGAGTGAGGATTAACTCACGGGTATTTCCCCTGGACACACACCATGGCCGCGCACCAGTCACCCCCGGTCGAACCATTATTCACTAATTTTACCACCCCTTTACGGTGGTCCGTAAATCACGTTCCCTCACTCTTCACCAGGAACAGTTACGGCACTTCCTATTATGAAGTGAGGCCTATATTAATCCTTAGGCCGCCGTGAATGCCAATTTCCTGGTCCCTTGTTTTCACAGCCTCCTCACTCCATTCAAAACACTCCCGCCGCCCCATGCCCTCAGCCGACCTCCCTCCCTGCATATCCGCGCAGGCGCAGGGGGAACACTGTTGGTTCTATTCAAATTTCAAATACATTTTGGCTCAAATCAACACATTAAACACCTATTAGGCACTATAGCTTCGGAAAATTAAATATTTTCCACAATAATATGTATACGTATAGTAAGTAACTGGCTTACCTGGAGGGTATTCCGAGGGTCAACTCCCTCATGACCAGGCGTCATGGTGGATCAGGGCCTGATCAACCAGGCTGTTACTGCTGGCCGCCACGTAAGCCGACGTACAAACCACAGCCCGGCTGGTCAGATACTGACTTTAGGTATCTGTCCAGTGCCTTCTTGAAGACAACCAGAGGTCTATTGGTAATCCCTATGTTTTCTGGAAGGCAGTTGAACAGTCTTGGTCCTCTTACACTTACTGTGTTGTCTTAGCGCACTCATGGCACCTTTGCTTTTCACTCGGGGGGGGGGGATGTTGCTTCCGTCATATACGTATGACATATAACTGGTTTCCGTTTTAAATTTCCCAGAACTGTCTAATCATAGGGTTATTATAGTCATACACAAAATATATACTATTATTAAGTTTGAACTCAGAGTAATCGAACAAAGCCAAGTAGTATAACTCATCTGTGATACATCATTGTTACACACACTTTCTTACATCAGTGTATTTGTCAACAGTAAAAAGCGAGGACAATATCAGGTGGAGTTAAGATTTCGTTCGGATTTTTAACCCCGGAGGGTTAGCCACCCAGGATAACCCAAGAAAGTGCATCATCAAGGACTGTGTCTTACTTCCACTACTTATTTATTTTATTTATTTCTTTAATAATTTGAACATACAGAGGTACAAAAAATACAGGTAAGAGCAGCATGCCAAAGCCACTTGTATGCATAGCATTACGGGCTGGCTTAAAATTAACTTAAGATTAACTAAGCAATGATGCAATCAGTGATAAAACATTATTGTAAACAGATAACAATAAAGTACAAATGAGTATTACAAAGACAGGTCATATGGTTGCATACATTGCTGTACATTCAGTAGAATGGAGTATCCTGTTAGGTAGTGTATTTAAAAAATAACAAAATTAGATTGGGTCTTAGGTTTAACATTTATGTGATATAATTATGGGAAACATTTAAGATATACAATTTATAAGGTTCAGTTATTCAGTATTTATTTGGTTTTGGGTGAGTAAGTGATCTTTGAGAAGAGACTTGAATTTATAAACAGGTAGTGTTTCTTTTATATTTACAGGTAATGAATTCCAGATTTTAGGGCCTTTTATATGCATTGAGTTTTTACTACATGTAAACCACACAATAACCAAATTCTGTAAACTCAGCATTGTAATCCTTATAGAGAATAAACTTTGAATTTGAATTTGAATAGCGTGAGATGGACACGAGGAACATCAAAGAGTGATCTGCGCCTTGTGTTATGGTCATGTGTTCTGTTGAGGTTGGTAAGGAGATGTTTGAGGGGAGGGTTAATATCAGAGTTAAGTGTTCTATGTATGTAATAGGTGCTGTAATAAGTATGGATGTTTTGTATGGTGAGTAGGTTTAGTGTTTTGAATATTGGTGGAGTGTGCTGCCTGTAGTGGGAATTTGTTATCATTCTGACTGAAGCTTTTTCTTGGGTAGTTAATGGTCTGAGATGGTTAATTGTTGTTGAGCCCCATGCACAAATTCCATAGGTGAGATAGGGGTAAATAAGAGTGATATAGGGCCAGGAGGGCTGACTGTGGAACATAGTACCGTATCTTCGATAGTATGCCTATGGTCTTGGAAATTTTCTTAGAAATTTGTTGTATATGTGTATGAAATTTGAGTCTATTATCAAGGTGGGTTCCTAAGAATTTTCCCTCTGTTAGCTTTGTGATAGGTGATCCATTTATCATTATGTTAAGAGGTGTGGAAAATACTGTATATATTTTCCAGAAATTCAGTATTTATATGTATATAGATGGCCATACTGTATTTAATAACATTTGTCATAGAAAATGGGAAACTGAACCTGGGGAGAAGGGTCAGTCGCCATTGTTAATTTGAATTGGATACAACTTTAGTGTAATGGGAAGGAATTTTCGTGCTCTAGAGGTTAAAATTGTGCTGACACCTCTCAAATAGGAGGCGAAATTGTTGGATGTGCATTCCTGCACAACTTGAGATATCAGACGACTGGACAAGACAGCTCCAGGAACCTCAGATAAGTCTTATGTAGTAACCTGGCCAGTGTTATTTTCAACTCCTAACTTTATTGGCAAGCGGCGGCAGCAGCGGCATCCTACCAGCTCTTCTTCCTCAAAAAACATCGCTCATCAAAACTTGTGATGGCCTAAGAAGTGAAA